CAACACTCGCCTTGACGAACGGCACACGACTCAGGGCATCAGCTACTATGTTCTGTGGCCCCGGAACGTACTTGATATCAAAGTCGTAACTTGCCAACTTGGCAACCCAGCGTTGCTCACAACAATCTAGCTTCGGCTTTGCCAGAATGTGCGTCAACGGGTTGTTATCCGTCCAGACAGTGAATTTGTGACCTTTCAGCCAGTGACTGAACTTTTCGCAGATTGACCACTTCAAGGCTAGAAACTCCAACCGATGAGCTGGGTAGTTCTTTTGGGACCGGGATAACGACTTGCCGGCAAAAGCAATAGGTCTGGCCCGTGTTTCGCCCTCCTGGATTTGGGACAAAACCGCACCTATGCCATCCAAGGACGCATCGGTTGACAGCATGAAGGGACGGTTGAAATCGGGGTGAGCTAAGACAACACTGTGGACCAGTGAAGCTTTCAGACTTTCAAAAGCCTGTCCCTGCTCAGGTGTCCAATCAGCCACACACAACTTCCTGCTCGACAGTTTGTTTTTGGGTTGTTTACCTCTCCTCTTTGCACCTTTCAACAGGTCGAACAGCGGCTTGGCCATAGCAGAGTAACCGGGCATGAAGTGTTGCTAGTAATTTACCATCCCTAAGAAAGACCCTATGCGCTTTGGGGACGGAGTCACACCATCAGGCTCCATGAGGTCAGTGCTCACCATGTTAGTGATGCTTTCAACCTTGCTGGGGTCTGTTGAAACACCATTCGCATCAACAATGTGGCCAAGAAACCTTACAGACCTCCTGAGGAAGAAGCACTTTTTAGGAGATATCTTCAAGTTGTGTCTACGCAGCCTCTTAAACACCATCCCTAGGCGCAGCAAGGCAGTCTCCTCATCAGGTGCAAACACTAGCAAGTCATCCAAGTAGCATAAGAGACTCAAATAGTTTTGGTCACCGAAAATGCTCGTCATCATGCGCATAAAGCTCCCGGGACTGTTGCAAAGGCCCTGCGGCAGACGGTTGTACTCATACAGACCCATGGGGGTGGTAAAGGCAGAGTACTTCCTGTCGTCCTCGTGGAGTGGCATGTTGTAAAAGCCGGAAGTCAGATCCATTGTGCTGAAGAGGCAGTTCCCCCCCAGCGCTGCTAAACAATCTGCCTGGTGCGGAAGAGGATGAGCATCCTTCAGTGTCCTTTTATTCAACCAGCGAAAATCTGTACAGATGCGTAGATCCCCGTTCTTCTTCCACACAAGCACCAATGGTGAGGCATATTCGCTAGTTGACTTTCTGATGATCTCCTTTTCCTCCATCTCGCTTAGTACCTGGCGCAACTTTTGGTACTGGCCAGGGGGCACTCTCCTGTATGGGAGTCTGAATGGTCTGTTATCTGACAGGTGTATGCGATGTACAAAGTCCTTTGCCTCTCCACAATCGAGATGATGGCGCGAAAAGATGTCCTCATACTGCATCACAAGGTCAGCCATCTTCGTCTTACAGTTTACAGACACTTCACACGACTCAACGTCAACAGTACTGAGCCCAATTGAGCAAAGCTTTTCCTTGGCGGAGCCTGCATCAGTAATAGGAGGCATGGCTGATTGAGTGCATCCGGCCACCTCTATCGGTTCAACAACATCCATGTCCTCGAGCGCTGCACATGTAAAAACATCAGCTAGTTTTGCATTTCGCCTCAAGAGCACAGGTCTGTCAGATGTATTTATGAGCTTCAGCGGAACCTGCCCGTCTCCCCAAAGTGTGGTTACAATCTTTGCGACCAGAACCCCTCTGGGAGCCGAGCGGGATGAAGTGGGCTCTGTCATGACGGTGCTACCTGGTGAAATAGGAGTGTTCTTGGGTAGTTTTCCCCAGATGAGATATTCACTTCAGGCTCGAGACAGGTCGCTGAGTTACACCTGACTGTACCGACATTGTCCGGAACATCACTACCTCTCCATGGACTCAAACCCGAGAGCATAGACAGGAAATGTTCAGCGTCTGGGTCTCTGTCTGGGCAGGGGCCAGACACTGTCCTCCAATAGGATTCGCAGGATTTAGATTGATGCAGGATGTATTTTATAACATTTGTCCCTATGATCAACTCATCATGCTGTCCCGGGACAACGAGTGTTGGAACAAACATCTTGCAACCATACACTTCCATCTCCACGCCAAAAGCACATTTGGGCCTCACACGAAGTCCCCCACATCCCACAAGGACTACATTGACATCTATCTGTTTCTGGTCGGTTATCACTCCAGCATCTCTCAGTTTCATCTCAGCTGTTTCACTAATGCTACACGCCATGGAGCCGCTGTCCAACATGCCACCTATTGCAACCGTTCCACCCAGTACCGCAGGTGTGTAGAAAAGACTGTCACTACTGCCAACTCTGTGAATATTCTGGAAAACAACAACCTCAGATTCATCACACGAGTCTCTCACAGAGGTGTACACCGTCTCAGCATCAAACATGTCATCTATTTGGGAGTTTGTTGTGCAACTTGTATTGCCTCCCTCCGAATACAAGTCGACTAGTTTCCCTCCATCTGGAATTGAGTTGAGGTTTTGGCAGTGCAGTTTAGTTTGGTGTGGCCGGGGGCGTGGCAGGCAAAACAAAGTCGGTCAGACATACAATGTGAAATGGTGGTGTGGCTTGAATCATTACAGACCTTACAAACTGCCTCCCTTGAACGCTTTTCATGGGACACATGCTGGAACCGCCCACCTAGAGTTGGACGCAAAGTGTTCCGTGGCTGCATTTTCTCCATCATCTCCTGAAACATGTCGACCATAGAAGAGAAGAGAAGCCTCTCCTCTGACTGCGGGAGATTTCTTTCATGACAGGGTTCGCCTTGAACTGGATTAGGATGACACACTTGCTGGTGCTGAATCTGGAGAGGGGGAGATGAAGGGCTCGCAGAAAGGTACTGCGCAGACATCGCCCTATCACTCAACGGCTGACTAGGTTGCTCAGAAGCGACTGCAGTGATGTAGTTTTTCAGTGGTACGGTATCAGTGGCGCCGCCCCGAGCCCTCAACTCACGCTGATAATCATCAATCCTCGACTGAACATCCCGTGCGGTCCATTCGTGAAGTGGTTTAAACTTTAGAGTGCAGGACAGTTCTGGGTCAGGGCAGTGCTTGACAAACATGAGAGCCACTTCATCATTCATGTTCTCCGTCCGCTTCCCTTGTCTGCACAAACCCTCAAGTGCAAGGTCGGCTGCTTTGTTCAGTCTTATCCAGTAGTCAACTGGGTTTTCTCTGTGCTTGGGCAAAGTAGCATAGAAGTCTGCGAGGGGAAGACATGAGGGAGCAACACTGAAGTAGTGGAGGAGAACATTATATATCCGTTCAGGTTCGACATCGAGCGCAAGATCACTACGCAAGGAAATCTTCACCACATCTCTGGCTTTGCCCATTAAATGACTCATTACTTCCTCTGCTTGGTCACAAACAGGAATCTGTCGTTTTCTGAGATGTGTTTTAGTCATGTCAATCCAATCCTGGACTGGGTATTTGTCGGTACTGTCACCTCTGAATGTCTGCAATCCTTTATCAGAATTCACATGGACTGTCACCTGTGGAGGACGGTCATGTTGATCAACATTAGTGTGTGTGGTCTGATCAGTAGTGGTCTGGTGCTCACTGGTCATGTTTACAACACCAGCTGACATTAACTTTTCGACAATGGACTCACCAATTTGGGCACCTAACTGCCCTACCATGGCTGTGAGATGGTGTATGACATCAGCATCACTGCTAGGAGTAGACGTGAGAGGACCCCTCATTAACCCACCAACGGGAGTACAATCTGGGCTCTGACCTAGCCCTGTATCACGGTTATCCGGTGTTACCTTAGAGTGTCCCACATCCCTACTGTCAGCAACATAACTGAGCCAAGTGCCCCTGCCCTTTGGCAGACTCGGGCTAGCAAACTCATCCATGTTTACTTTAACGGCCGTTTACAACCAATAAATGTACTTGCGTTGTGTATTTAGAACCAAAACCCAGCAAAAACAAAAGAAAACAAGAATTCAAAATTCTTGATTGTCAAAAGTGGACTTTTTTTTTTTCTTTTTCTTTTTTTTTACACTCTGCCCTAGTTCACAATCTTTTAAAAACCTGATATGACCATGAAGAGTACAAAGGCGGATCAGGACGTCAGCACAGCATCCGCGGCGACGAGCATCAAGCTGATCTGAAGATCCGGGTCACGGCACCAATGTAACAGATGTGTTTAGGGCATGGAAGTAGTCGACTCAGGTACTGATCTTTTCAGCATTTATTTGCTCCTGCAGAAGACAATAAAACACAGACATTGCCTTCTGGTCTCTGCACATCAGCTCCCTACACACGGGGTCTATGGAGGGGAACGTATACGTCAGGACGACCGGATGTAGCGAGTACAAACGGCGCGAAATTAAACAATGACCAAACGTATACTTTTATCACCACTCCGTCGAATAATGACGCACCACAGCTGAGAACCGTGGTCATGTTACCCACGCTAATGGTAGCTGATGTTAACAGTAATAATTAAGAACATAGCGAAATAGTGCGACGTCGTTTTTTTTTCTCAACTTACCTTCAACAGTGTAACACTACTGTGAAGGAAAAACGGGACTACGGAAGCCTAGGAGGCGCAGTAGAGATGAATCGCAATTTCCGAAAATTTGACTCATCAAAATAAAATTCACACACACACGTTCAACAAGATTGTTGAATAATAACCAAAAAATAAAATACAATACTTTGAAAATGACAGTGTATTTCTAACTCCGTTACATATGTTCCTAAAAGACACTTAAGAGGGACAGAGTGCTTTTACCATGTTGCGACAGCATGTCCTGATACCGCTGAGACGTGAGAGTTTTCGCAAAAGACGGTGACAAGTAGTGTTTTTTGCAGCATACTATGTTCACACACGAACCATTGAGATCGAATCCCGTGGTCCGTGTGGGATGTAACACGCCGCAGTGTGAGTGCGTCTGAAGCCGTTTCTTTCCTATCGTCTCCCACAGGTGATGTCATTGTCTACATCAATGACATCTGTGTGCTTGGCACCACGCACGCCGATGTGGTCAAGCTTTTCCAGTCCGTGCCAATCGGCCAGAGTGTGACCCTCGTGCTCTGTCGAGGCTATCCCCTGCCCTTTGACCCTGAGGATCCGAGTGGCACAGCGAGCGCTTCCTTGACACCCATCGGCATGGAGCATCGTCCCCTAGTGGTAAACGGCCGCGCCAGCTACGACCCGTACCTGGAGTATCTGTCGTTGAGCTCCCAGCTTCCCCCTCAGGCTCTGGCCCAGGCCGGAGCCCCCCACCCCGGGGACACACATTTGGATGGCTCATCTCTGCCGCCCACCACACCTGGTTCCGTATCCGGACTCACGCCGCACGACGACAACGTGTCCATGGCCTCCTCCGGGACCACGGGGGGCGCCGGGCACGCAGCACAGGGGGCGGAGTTTCTCACAGTTACCATGGTGAAGGGGGCGGAGGGATTCGGGTTCACCATTGCCGACAGTCCCACCGGTCAACGAGTAAAACAGGTGACCCATCACAATCGTCAGTACGTCTCCTCGTTCACTTTAGAACACGGAAGGTTTGATTTGTCTGTGATTCAGAGAGGAGATGTGTTCTTTCAAGAGCAAAATCTTAGACGTCTGCTAAATTATGTGATCACGGTGAGTTACACATTGAAGTTACAACTGCGGTTCAAGGTTTAATTCAGTCAACGTCACTACGTAGAAAGAGAGCTTAGTACGTGAAGATATTCCACCTACTAGCATGATGGTGAATGTTTGAAAGACGAGATTAAATAATGCATTTAAGAATGAGATACATTAGAGAAGATTGGCGGTGATGATGTGGCAGATGTTATTTCTTATCCTTGTTGTATTTCTCCAGTAAAACATCTGTAACATCAAGTCATGTGTTTTATGTTCCACATTCAAGTCTTCTTATTCTTTCATTTGCTTTCTGCATTTTTGACAAATGATCTTCATGTTATTATCTTGAGACGGGTCATTGGCTGTTACTGAAAAATACTTTAGAAGAAGCTGAGATAATCTAGCAGCTTGGCATTTCTAGACAGATATGAGTTTAGAGACCAACAATAGAGGTCTGTTCGTTCGTTCATAGACAGTTTCGTTAGACATAAGAAGCTTTTTGTGACGGCGGACTGCGTGTCTGTGGTGCAGGTGCTCGACCCGGGCTCGCAGGGGGCGTCGGGGCTCGTGGAGGGAGACCTGATCCTGGAGGTGAACCAGCAGCCAATGGCTGCAGCCGGACACGGACGAGTGGTGGAGATGCTTAAAGAGTGTCCCGTGGGAGCCGAGGCGACTCTCCTCATACAGAGAGGAGCGACGGGTGAGAGATTTCCTCTTTGTGGCTGTTCTAATACAGTATCCTTCTTTCTATTGTTCATTCACAAGGGCTACACGAAAACTTGTAGATAACTGATCTGATGTCAGATGAACCACATGTTGTACAGACACTAATAGTTAAATTGGATGTATTGATGGATTTCTTATGTAATGTCTTTGGCGGTCCATAAATGTCATTTTTTTTATGAAGATACTCAAACATAATATTCAACTCTGCTTTTTCCTGGTGATTGTTCTTTGTCGCATGGTAAGAGGAGCATTTGGATGCCCTTCAAAGATACTTTTTTAACAAAATGAAAGAAGGATCCGGTGCTTGAGGAACTGTATATAGGCGGCCTTCTGATTGAGATACACAAATATGTTGTTATGGTGCATCTTCTGAAGCTTTGACGAGAGGAGTCAAGCACATGGAACAGTGAGAGCCGAGGGAGCAGAAGAGATTTTGATTACGATAATGTTGAGACTGTTCTATTTTTACAGTTTATAGGTTCACTGTTTGCTTTTTGATGTGCCATCCAACTCCTTTTCTTGCTCCTTTATTCGTCAATTCTGTCCAGGGATCCATTTCCAGGCGTGAAAAGGCCATTTGCATTTTATCTTGGATAATAAAAGAGGATTATTAGATGCATTGTTTTGAATTGTTAATTAGGGAGGAAAACAATCGGTCTCAAATGCAACTTATTTTTAATTAATTGGATGGTGACAATCTTTATTAGTGCAGACCTGAAAAGCAATCAAAGCAATCAACCCACATTTAGTGATCTTGACACATCTGATGTAAGTCCTCCTTGGTGTTTTGCAGACTTAAACCAGTCCTGTTGTCTCCAGGTTTCCAGTGACAGGACATTATCAAACCTGACAATGTATTGGTGTACTGACGTACTGTTGCGCCGTCCAAGTGAATTGATTGTGTACATATGTATGTATTGTGCCCCGCAAATTATACTCAGTCAGTTTATTACATTTTCATCAAATACATTTTGTGTTACCGTGCACGGATGTGTATGTGAGCAGCTGAGATCAAATTTTGCATGCTAAGACTCTTCCATCTCATGGCCATGCAGAGCCAACATCTGCCACCTGGTGGTTGACCCTTCCAAAGACATACGCTCGCGTTCCACTGTCGGATACGCCATTTAAAAAGGATCAAAAATACAACCGAGTCCGCCCCACAAGGAATAACGCTCCATTAAATGCAGATACACAGATCTGTCTTCAAAATGGACCCACAGCTTGCAATAGATATCACCGTAAACGTGCCAAGGGAACTCCCTCCCCCCCAAAGAGGCCGTCTCCCCCAACCTCCACAGTTCCTATCAAAGAACTCAGCCTGACACACCAGGAGCCCCTCTGACTGTGTTGCTCTCCTCGCCACAGGGTAAGAGGAAGGACAAGGTCCTTTGCAGAGACTCAGCTGTACAAAATGTCAGGAATGTTTAATCTTGTTTGAGTTCACAGACGTAGGATTTCTATGCGGAAAACATCAAAGGAATTTAGCTTGCACGCGTGAATTCAAATGTGAGACCGAGAGAATCAGCGCTGTGTGTGTGTGTAACAGACAGGGTGTTACACTTCCGCTGCATGAGTGAGCGTGAGTGTGAGTGTGTGTGTGTGTGTGTGTGTGTGTGTGTGTGTGTGTGTGTGTGTGTGTGTGTGTGTGTGTGTGTGTGTGTGTGTGTGTGTGTGCGTGCGTGTGTGCGTGCGTGTGTGTGTCTGGCTGCTGTAGCGTGGGCACTCTGCCAGAGTTACACTGAGCTCTGGTCACGTTCTCAGCTCGGTCCCCCTGACATCCCAGTTTGAAGCGGAGCCAACCACAGACTAGAGACACTGCAGCACCAATGAGGATGCAGATCATGGCTGTGAAGAGAAGCGCGACTGCTGCACGAGCCAATCAGGCCGATCTGAAGGCCATCCAGAGCTCAGCAGGCTAGTCTGTAAAGACCGGCCGGCCAGACTGTCTGACCAGCGAGTCCAGAGAGTGGCCACATGAAGGCTCTCTACCGATCGTCCATTCGTAATTGATCAGCATTCACACGTGCCGGCCACACATCCGGCATTGATGAATGGTATTCACATTTAAATTATGCTTAAATACCTCTTTGAAAAAAGACACATCTCGAAAATATGAGTGGACAGTTGCCTTTTAGCTCACAAGGATAGTTTCTTGAGAATTAATAATCAGATCTCCTCAAAGGCTTCCCTTAAGGCCCGTTTTCCCTAGAGGATGTGGTTATTAGTTGGTTTCAGCACCGTGGACAGTTCTCGTCCAACCGGCATTCATGTTTACGTTTGTGCAGGTTTTTTATTTCCTCATATTGTCTCGTCCTCCACGCTCAAAAACACTCCAGGGACATTTATTTTTAAAATCAGTTTTTCATGGGGGGAAATGATTGGGGGCTGGGTTTGAAAAAAGAAGTAAGAATGTCATTAATACATTTTAATTTTTAATTTTGTGAACACATGTTCTGGCAGTGATCTTTAGTATTTTATTTTTCCTTAAAGTTCTCCTTGCTCACTTAACTTGCTCACTTGACTTGACTTGCTGCTCCGCGCTTTCATCTCACACATCTACAAAGCAGGCGGATGTAGCTGGGAAGTAATTCCATAAATATATTTTTTAGGAAAACTCAACTGAATAAATATTAAATGTATTCATATTCTCAGAAGCCCATGTCTATTAAAGGACTCATCAGTGATACAGGAGTCTCAAGTTTGTCTCATGTGTGTGTTTATGCATTTAAACATGTGTAGAGATTCAAACTGCCTCTGCATACAAATCAGCTAATGCATTTGAACCCCCAACATGTAAACGTATGTATTTGGGTCTCATAAATGTGCTGTATGTCTTTGATTCAGTGGAGTCTCAGGGGAGCCGTGTTGCTCAGATACTTGTGATGAGCAGCACTCCCTACATGCAGATATGACAAATATGACTTGTAAACTGTTTCTGTGTGTGTGTGTGTGTGTGTGTGTGTGTGTGTGTGTGTGTGTGTGTGTGTGTGTGTGTGTGCACATGCATTTGCCTTCAGCCAATGATGTAATTATGTTGAAAACAAATCTAACAACCAAACCAATTTAGGAAGATTTACAGAAACAAAGTCAAAACAGGGAACTAATACGTCAGCAGACTGAGATCATTCAGCAATTATATCCAACATGTAATGAATAAAACCCTCCGCCCAATGGCTAAAATTCTGTCTACCAACAGGATTTCACAGCTTGCTCTCTATAAACTGTGTTTTCTTTTCCGTCCTTAGGCCACATCTCGCCTCGAAAGGCCTCCAAACAGGTACGATGATTGAAGCAAATGTTATGCTGCTTGTGTGTAGGTGTGCATGTGTTTAACTCGGAGAGGGGAAAAAAAGATCTGTCTGAGAGGAAATGTGAGTCTGAAGCAGATTTGTTTGTTGAAGCAGAAAGGTAAGACTGAAGCGCTTTTCACGAACGACTGTGTTGCCTCGGAGGTGTTTGGCTTTTGCTTTTATTGTGAGATGAGACGAGACAGCCCGTCGTGACCTGCTTATTGGTAGGGTCTCATCCGATCTCACACCTCACCAGCCGGAGAAAAGCTCCTCAGATTTACACTTAAACTGCAGCTGCTACTGCTTATACAATCAGCGCTCATTCATGGTATTGGATAGAAAATTCACACGTAATGAATCTCATGCGAGTGTAAAATTTGAATAATGATTTTAATGGTTCTCATATAACCCATGGCCAAATAGCTATTTGTATGCATTGTATAATTGAGTAACAGAAGCAAGTCTGTTAATTATCTTCCACCATCAATTATACCTGACATTATTGTCTAGGATTTTACTTGATTTTTACATAAATCGAAAACAATTTTCGTGGAGATAAATTGGGGTAAAAGACATTAACCAGTTTGCACATTGAATTATTTTCCCTTATTTCTAGCAATTAGTTTAGATCAGAGCTAGATTGTATTCCAGCTGTCTGTTTCTGTCCTGCATGGTGCAGTCACAGTGTTGCCAGCATTGGACGTCTCTCATGAGTGAACTTGGTCTCTTGTTGCCCACACCCAGGGCTGTAGTGGAGGGTAAACGCACGTAAACGCCGTTTACGCACCTCTGGAATTTTGGAAATAGCGTTTACGCACCTATAAGTAGCGTTTACGCACCTATAAATAGCGTTGACGCACCTATAAGTAGCGTTTACGCACCTATAAATAGCGTTTACGCACCTATAAGTAGCGTTTACGCACCTATAAATAGCGTTTACGCACCTATAAGTAGCGTTTACGCACCTATAAATAGCGTTTACGCACCTATAAGTAGCGTTTACGCACCTATAAATAGCGTTTACGCACCTATAAGTAGGTAAAACTATAATAGCGTTTACGCACCTATAAATAGCGTTTACGCACCTATAAGCACCTATATAGCGTTTACGCACCTATAAGTAGCGTTTACGCACCTATAAATAGCGTTTACGCACCTATAAGTAGCGTTTACGCACCTATAAATAGCGTTTACGCACCTATAAGTAGCGTTTACGCACCTATAAGTAGCGTTTACGCACCTATAAATAGCGTTTACGCACCTATAAGTAGCGTTTACGCACCTATAAGTAGCGTTTACGCACCTATAAATAGCGTTTACGCACCTCAAAGTTCCCTGCGCCTTGTATTCTTCCGTTGGAATAATCCAAAATAAACTTGGTGTAATTTTAAAACAGCTAAGACTACGTTTCCTATTGTTGAACATATAAACGGCGTAGTCTGAATCATGTTCATCTGCGCTGTATTACGGTCTGTGAGGATCCAATCAGTGCCTTGCGGCTGCAGCAGCGACCAATCAGGATCCAGGAGGCACATACACGCTGTGGATCAGCCCAGTGGTCCCCAACCTTTCTTACCTCACGGACCGGTTTCATGTCAGACAATATTTCGCGGACCGGTCGAGAAGGTCGACCGGTCCGTGCACCCTCCGGGGGGGTTGGGGGGGGGGGGGGGGGTAGTAGTCGTTGCGGGCGGAACGACCGACGGTGGGTAGTAGTCGCGCGCTCTGTGTTCGCTGGTCGTGCACGGTAAAAGGACAAGCAAAACGCCTGGTGACGCGCGCACATAATTAGGAGAAAATCCAGTCAATGTTCAAAGGCTCTGCCTCCCCTGTCATCATGAGCGGGGAGCAAAGCTGTTGCTTCACTGAATAGGCCTATATGCTTAATCAATTATTTTAAGTCATGAAAGGTGTAGAGTAGCCTGTAAGCGTTAGAAAACAAGTCAGTTCTCAATGTGAAAACAAAACATGCTGTATAGGCTATTTATGATGACGTAGGTAGTACATGAGTGTTCCTTTAACGTTAGTGTCAGTGTGATTGACAGGCTACTTAACTGGTTAACTCTTAATTCAACATATTTGTTCAGGCAGTGAGAGGACAGGCAATGATGCAGAGAGCACAGGGAGAGGAGAAACACCAGGTCCAATAAAGAGAGAAGCACAGAGGAGCCATGAACCCCAGAACGCCTGTTCTGGGGTTCATGGCTCCTCTGTGCAAGGCAGGACCTGACGTGGAGGACAAGGAGGCCCTCTGTGCACTACTGTGAAAAGGAGACTCCGTATGTAGATAGTTCTTAATCTGCAATTGTGTTGTTGTGTTGTGTTGACATACTTTTCTTCACTGTTTTCTTAAATTTAATACTACTACTAACACATGTATTCATTGTCATTGATTGTATATGACTTTTACTGATAACATAATGCAATATAGCCAGGACAGCCTTACAGAGTCACAACGCTTTGTGTTGCGTTGCTTCGCATCGCGTCGAGGTCTGTATGATCACAAAATTCAGAGTTTACCCACCTCTGATTTTACCACTACAGCACTGCCCACACCGCACTATAACACAATCAATTTCCATTTGAGATAATGACCAAAATCTACCAATCAATGAGAAGCCTACTGGAAGACATCAATGTGCCAGAAACAGAGAGGGCTCTGAGACATCTCCCAAAACCTCGTTGTGGCGCAGGGGGTAGAGTGGGTGCGCTGGGAACCACAAGGTCGGTGGTCCGAGTCCCGGCCTCCCCACGTCTCAAGTTGAAGTGTCCCTGAGCAAGACACCTAACCCCTAATTGCTCCCCGGGCAAAAATGTAAAAAGCCATGGGTTTAAATTGTAATGTAAGTCGCTTTGGATAAAAGCGTCTGCTAAATGACCTGTAATGTAATGTAAAATCATCTGTTGTTGCTGCTTTCCTTGTAGTTGCCTGACCAGTGGGATCCACATGGCAGCCCCCAAGCAAACCTGTCCGGCCCAGTTTTGCCGCCTGGCACACCCTTCCCAAACCAGCCGCAGCACCGCACGTCTGTGCCCGACTCCACCGAGGGCTTCGATCTTAACAAACCTGACCCCTATGACCTTTATGAGAAGTCGAGGGCCATCTATGAGAGCCGACGTAAGTACTGCAACTCGGTTTGTGAGAAAATGAGGCGTTATTTTGCTTGGTATGGCTTATTATACGCTGATTTTTCAATTAACGAAAGGAGTCACCCCTTGTTGTCGCTATTTGTGCCTCAGGTCCAGAGTATGAAGAGGTGGAGGTTCACCTGCTGAGAGAGAAGACCGGGTTTGGCTTTCGTATCCTAGGGGGAGACGAGGCCGTGCAGGCTGTGAGTCCGGACGCCCGTGACAAGGCTCGTATGGGACGGGCTGGACCACACACATGTTTAACCTCATCCAACCTGCACCTGACCTCATCTTCACACTTCCATCGAGTCACACACATTTCCCAACAACATGCACTGCACACGTGAACCGGCACACAAGCACTTTTTGACTCAGGCCTAACCGCTCACTACCTGTCATGCTAAAGGAATGCCTTCCTCGTCCAGTAAACAATGTAGACTACAGATACAGAAGAATGCAGCAGGAGAATTGCAAGAAGGTGGAAAAATGATTCCATGACATAAAAGAGTCTCCAACCTGGATGGTGCAATTATTTTGTGATTTGACACTGTCTCTGTTTCATCCTCTTCACCTTCTTCTACGCCGCTAACATCGATTGTCCTTAAACAGATTGTTATCGGGGCGATAATAGAAAACACCCCCGCTGAGCGTGATGGACGGCTTCGACCCGGGGACGAGCTCATTTCCGTGGATAAAAATGTGGTTGCTGGGAAACCACACAAATACGTAATAGACTTGATGCACGCAGCCGCGCGCAACGGTCAAGTCAGCTTGACTGTGAGAAGGAGAGTGCAAATGCCTGGTAAGGACATGCTCTTCTGGTTTTGTTGTTTTTGTTTGTTTCACAGTTTATTAAGAATGGAGAACACGCTGCATATTTCAAGACCGAAAAAAAAACATTTTAAACAAGTTGGACAGGTCACACATGCCGACACTCTGTGTGAGAAGTACACACTGATCCTGCACACAATTAATTTCACATGCAGAAAAACATAATTTCTCTGAATTATTTACTACACCACAGACAACGTCCTCTCAAGGAGCCTGTCTGATCTTTTGGCCTGTTGTTATTGTTCATATAAAAAGCACCATACTGTATATGCTGCACCGCAATGTTTTTAACCCTGGCTCTGGAGAAGGCTTTTCATGTTTAAAGTCATGTTTTTATGTTACCTGAAGGCGATCTGCTACCTCGCCCCCTCAACGTCAGTAAATACGTTCCTTTTAAGGGGAGACTATTTCATTTCTCTGATCTTTGCAGGCATTTAATGTCTTCTCATTTGAAAATATGAATATATAGAATCATATATTTCTTAATCACACACTTCAAAGGATAAACAAACACTCTAAATTTGACATGGACAGAAAGTCCCTGTTGGATGTAGAGATGTGCTGTTGCATGCAATGAGCGGTTCAGAATGACATTTCTTTAGTGGCTACATGTTAAGCTGCATTTCAAAGCTTTAAACAATCTTTAAAATGAATAATTCTTACAGCAACATCTGCTTCTTGACTCATCCTACCTCCTTTCATGCTTCCTCTCCACCAGGTGAACTGTGTCCTGTAAATGGACGCAGGCCCGGCTCCGTGTCGACCCAGCACAGCTCTCCGCGTAGCGATGCGGCCTCGGCTTCGGGCCCTCTGGCAGTCGTCGTGCCGACTGCCACCTCCCCTCCGGAGAGATCCGCCCTGCAAACCAGTGATGTGGTTATTCACCGCAAGGACAACGAGGGCTTCGGCTTTGTCATCATCAGCTCCCTGAACAGACAGGAGAACGCCTCCGTCATCAGTGAGTTTCTGCTGTCTGGAGCCCTGAAGGTGGCTACTGAATGCAAACAGGGGCGTTTAATGAATCTTGACGACCAGGGATCCTAAGGGTGGTAGCCGTAGATGGATTGTTTATTGTTTGCTATTATTATTTTTTATCATTTATTTATGGATTTAAAATATGTCCACTCAAGGAACAGGCTCAAATATCTACTATATCTACTATATATATATATACATATATATATATATATATATATATATATATACATATATATATATATATATATATATATATATATATATATATATATATATATATAATATTCATTATATCAGATGTTCTAATAACCAGTGAGCTTGGCATCTAACAATTAAATTGATTTTGTGGTGTTTTTCTTATCAGAACTTTTCTGAGCTGAAATCAAACTTAAATAGTGTTTACTCAATAAATCTGTTTTTGAATTGTTGTTAATTAAAAAGCGTTGTGTTATTGCTTGTTTCCAGCTGTGCCGCATAAAATAGGACGCATCATCGAGGGCAGCCCTGCGGACCGATGTGGGAAGCTGAAAGTGGGCGACCGGATCCTGGCCGTAAATGGACAATCCATCATCAGCATGCCGCACGCAGATATCGTCAAGCTCATTAAAGATGCTGGGCTAACAGTCACTCTGCACATCATACCAGAGGAGGGTAAGTGATTCTGTGTGACACAAAACCAAATTATGTTACCTCGCTTTTGTGCGGCTGCTTGCTTAGATTTCCCCTGATGGAAAGAAAATGCTGAAGCGCGACTGCTGTGTCTTTTTATGAGTATTTCATTTTTCTTGGCCAACGAACTCCTAACACATAAAATGCATCAGTATTCTGAAGCATAAGACACTTTTACACAGTGAGCCAGAATGGAGCAAAAACATGGGTTAAACATCAGATAAATCAGATATCAGAACATGGGACAACCACACTGCAGTCTTCTGCATTGTGTGCATGTTCCTCCTGTCTGTTTGCTCCAAATCTTTCTCTTCAGAAGGATTTAACAGGTGAAAGCGTCTCTCAACTTCTGTCCATCACAGGATCCCACTCTGGCCCCAGCTCGGAAAAGCAGAGCCCAATGACCCAGAAACACAGCCCCCAGAACCAGCACAGCCCTGTAGCACAGCCCGGCCAAGGAGGCACCCAGCCCGGCCTAATGGCCTCCCAGCCGGGTCAAATGCCTGTGCAGCCCGGCCAGGCGCCAGCACAGACTAGCCAGGCAGTAACTGGCCCTTCTGTAACGGCGGCCTCCCATCCTGCGCCTGCCGGAACCCAGCACAGCCCGGTCAGCCAGGCCTTGGGCCCGCCTCCACAGCTCTACCTCCACGACGGCAGGTGAGAAGCCGCCGAGAGGGAGGGGCTCGTTTTCACTCGTCGCGAGCACTTTGCAATATTCCTCAAGCGTGTCTCGGTGACTGCAACGAGCGAGGAGTTTCTCAAAGGTGGTCAGATCTCAAACTGTGTCTCTAATTGTTCACCTTGAATGCCAGAAAGTTCAAAAGAAAACCTGTGACTGCAGACAACTTTTGTCCCAACTGGCGCTCAGTCTCAGGCTGGTTTCTACTTTATTGCGTAACACCACTTAGCTTCTACGGTGTCAGTGAATAATTTACTTGAAAGTAGCTCTTCTATAATGCAGGAGCCCGGCATTCAGGCCCTCTTCCTCATTAAAACTATGAAAGTTTAAGTATGTGGTGTGTGCATGGATGGGTTTGCGTGTGCATGTGAGTCTCAGATCAGGAGCAGCACTTCCCAGAGCTGTGGATTTATGCCCATTTCACATGTGGGAGCTGGATAAAGGTTTCAAAACAGAGTGTGATATTTTATTTCCATCCTTTTTTGTTGCGAGCTTCTTCAGCTGCACACACTCAATCATTTTACAGCAAAGTAATCTCAAATGTTACTTTACACACAATACACACTTATGAGAGTGTGTGCATTCGGAAAAACCTCTTTTCATTAATGCTTCTTCACAAACTTCTCCTCTGACTACTTCTGTACTCTCTCCTCACAGGTCAGAGGTTAAAGCCAGACAGGATGTCAAACCTGACTTCCGGCATCCTCCTTTCACTGATTACAGGCAACCTCCAGTAGACTACCGACACCCGCCGGTTAGTGATTACAGACAGCCGCCGACGCTGGACTACAGACACCCGCCTGGTCTGCTGGACTTCAGACAGCACCCTGCAGCGGCCCAGTTTCCTCTGGGCATCCCTCCCGACTTCAGACACCAGGTACCGCTGGACCAAGAACCGACTGCTGCGTAGTGTTACGTGGTGATTTGTTTGCAGTAGGTTTTGTTGCAAGTTGTCTGCATCTCTCCTGCAGGACTATGACTACTTTACGGTGGAGCTGGAGAAAAGCACAAAGGGTTTTGGCTTCAGTATCCGTGGGGGCAAAGAGTACAAGATGGACCTGTTTGTGTTGCGCCTGGCTGAAGATGGTCCCGCCATACGAAACGGAAGGATGAGGGTGAGATGACATGGCGAGATGATATGTTGAAAAGCTGTTTAGGAGGTGATTGGAATTGTTGTGAGTGAAGAACGGTTGCTTTGTTGAAGAAATACAGAAGTGGGAACTAAGAAGCTGCAAAATACCGGTTTGTCCATCTTGACCATCTAAGACAAAATAACACAACATGCTGGTGTGGGATTTATTTATTTCACAGAACTTACAGATGGTGTAAAATTCAATACAACACAGGGTTTTTTTGCCTTTTTAAAAAATAGGAAAACCCTGCCGTGTTCCTTCTGCAACATGCTTATTATCCTTCACTCCTTCTGTTAAGTCAAATCTTTATTTTACTGTCTGCCACATCCGCTGTATGTGAGATGAACAATCAATCGGTTACAAATCACTGTAGGTTGACGAGAGCAGGCGCATGTGTATTCACACTAAGGGACCCTCTGCTCATGTTGAGGTGTACTAAACCAGGCAATTAATGGCACTTATTCCCCAGTCGCCCCGGTGGAAGGAAACGTACTACGGCTGTGTTGAAAAGTCGACTTCCCGTGAATAAACAGGGCTGACATAATTTGACCATATGCTCTGTGTGCCCCCGCCCTTCCTGCCCCCCGCCAGGTAGGGGATCAGATCATAGAGATTAACGGCGACAGCACTCGGGACATGACTCACGCCCGTGCCATTGAACTCATCAAGGCGGGAGGCAGGCGGGTCAGGCTGCTGCTTAAGCGAGGCACAGGACAGGTGCCAGAATACGGTGGGTTCTCCCGTCATAACGTCCAAGTCTCTAAATGTCAAACTCTTTCTACTCTTTTCCGGCCTGATTTCTCTCTCACTTTCATGCGCAAGATTTTCATTGTTTGAGGTTCAACCTTACTGTTTTAACCACAATGTCTTTTTTCCTGCAAATGCTATATGTTTTACTCCAGAACATATTAACATGCATTAATATAAATCTACATTTTACTCCTCGCTCCTCATTCTTGTCTACTGTTGTTTGAAACTATTAAAACTATTTTAATCAGAGAGTAGAATAGCAACCGTCTCTTTATCCTGTGTAGGATTTAACCCCGCTGTCTTAAGTCTCATGATTGGTATAGGCTTTTACTTGCCTTCCCTCAGGAATGGTACCTTCCAACCTCTCCATGTGCATGAAAGGTGACACACTGAGCTCCCCCTATTTCTTCCTAATGGGCCACTCTAAAGACACGGTTTGTGAAAAACTGCATGTCTCTCTCTCTCTGTCCATACTGATATGTGTGCGGTTTTGCTTTGCACTGGGCATGCATTTGTGTATGCATAATCATGAGTGTATGCATGGCAAAATAGCAGGTGTGTGTGTGTGTGTGTGTGTGTGTGTGTGTGTGTGTGTGTGTGTGCGTGTGCGTGTGTGTGTGTGTGCGCGTGCGTGTGTGTGCACGCGGGTGCTTCTGCGTGTTGTAGTGAGAGAGCAATAGGTTTCGAAGTGACCCTCCAGATGACATTGTATCATCCTGAAGAGGGCTGTGAAGCAGACTGTGTGAAATCAATCTGAAAGAATATCGCCTCACATAACAATGCACACGAGGCGTGTGCTGCTGCCACATATTTGCATGCAAATTTGCCCTATATCGTATTAGGATCTTGTGTTTATTTTGCAATGTTGTCGACGTTTTTCTTTCTCTCTGCCTTTTTTTCCTCTCCTCAACCTCTGTGTGCATGTGCATGCTGCTTTGTGCCATTCTGCTTTTACCTCAGTCCACCTGAGCATGTCATCTCCTTCCCCCCCGACAGACTGTGCCGCCCCCTGGGATACCTTTTCTACAGCCCACCCTGCCCTGCAGGAAGTGACCCTCAAGCCCTACCCGAATCCATTGCTCTCATCCCATTTAGCCCTGGTCACCCCGCATCAGCTCCCTCTAGAGGCCACAGTGTACACGGCAGATAAAGCTCCACAGCCGGCTGACCACAGCTCCGTGAGGGGGGCTACAGGTGGCAGGTCCACCCACCAGAAGTGTATCATCAGAGGGCAGGGAACCCAACAGGGATCTGGAGAGTTGGACTGCGGACCAGGCGAGAGAAAGCCTTGTGTTTTGCCTCCCAAAGCTACCCTGGCGAGGTCTGTTGAAAGAAGAGAGAGACAGCGTGATACTTGCTCCCCCTGCTGTGAGAGAAAGGGCCTGCACACTCAGGCGACGAGCGCTGTCTGGCCGTGGGACCCTTACGTGAGTGTGAATTTCAACGGAGCCCCTCTAGGCAGTGGTGACGGACATGTCAGCCTCCAGGAGAGGCCGGTGTCCAGAGGTCTTTTCCCCAGAGAGGATGAGAGGGCCAGTGGCCACGGCGGGCTCTGCTGCCCGTCTAAGACCGCGGACGATCCTCCCACGAGGAGCGCTGCAGCCTCCCCTGGGCCCTGGAACGTCCCTGGGTCTGACAAACTGGCTGGCACCCTGAGGTCCTGGACCTCCACAGTGAGCAGGTAGAATGGATCTCGCTGGTTTGGACCGGATCACACTTTCTGGCTTTCCATTCAGTTCCCCTTCAGATGTCTGAGAGAAGCTCGTCCATTTCTTCCCCTCTCTCCTGCTGCCCTGTTCTCTTATCCAGCCACTTCTAAAAGCATATTTGATGTTTCCTTTGTCCTTACGAGATAAATATTACACCCACCACCTTAAAAGCAGAGGAACTCCACAGCTATTGTAACATACATGTGTTTACCTGATGTAGACTGATGCGTTTTGGACCCGTAGGTACAGCAGCTAATGTTCAGATCACAGATGGGTCTCTGATTCAGAGTGGAGCTGTGCTTAACCTTTAACTGCTCCACGGTATCCGGCTCAGATGGGTTAGTGCAACTTAACATGAAATGGAACAGCGGTCCTCGCAGGAGAGAGACATCTGTTTACCCGAGAGATTTTCTTTCGCTCCATTTTCTCCAAGCAGTGGGAAGAATGAGACTAAAAATCCGTCAGAGGGCGGCGGTGACAGTGACACTCCTGGAGGTCATGGCACTGGTCCAAGTGGCGGCTTGGTTAACCCGACAGTAAGATCTCACATGCCTACCAATATATCATATCCTGTAAATGTAAAGATCGGACAAATATGTACATTGGGTCATCTCAAAAACATGTTGGCGTTTCTGAAGCAGTGTTGTAGTTAGCTACGTTGTATATAAAAGAGAAAAAAACACACCGGTAACAGTATTTTAGGATCACTATGTTCCATGGCCTCGTCTATTACTACATATCAAAGACTGTGCGAGTCAGTACTCCCAGACCGGTGTGGGGGGCAGACGTCTTGTGCATGGATATAAACCACCACGTCTTTATACAGGGACCCACATGTCGTTTAGAGGTAGAATTTAGAGAGGATCTCCTCTGTGGAGCTGACCAGATATTTTTTGTTCATCTAACGACTGAAAACAGTCAGCTAGTAAGAACTCGTATCACTGTTCTTGAGTTACGTACACGTCTTCATCACGAGTCGACCATGCAGTCATTGTGCAGAAGTCTAAGCCCTGTTGTATTCATTTAATGCTCACGAGAGAATCCCATGTTTATGCCTTCTACTGTGCTACGTGTACCACATCACTGTGGGTGTGGGGAAGAGGAGGCCGATGGTTACAGGGCAGAGCGTGAGTGCCTTACTCAAACTAATGCAGAGCTGTAGGCATCTGCAAAACAGATGTTTATGATCATGCACACGTATGTGGAGCCTGTTTTCTTCTGACTTATTACCAAGCAGTATACAGTATATACAGTTATCATGATGCACTCGTATCAATGTCAATGATTGCCCTTGTTCCCTATTGCTTAAAAGGGGATACAGTAGCATTACATCCTCTTCTTAGAGTCATCTGGGAGAGTGGAGCTGTTAACGGTTACCCAGACATGGTTCCTGTCACAGTGGACCGCTGTTTCAGATGAGTCTCATTCCAGCTTTATCCTGTAAAGATCATTAGTTAAGTTTGTTTTGTTGCAGATGGAACAAATGCACCTGAATCTGAAGACTTAAGGTGACCTGGGAAACACAAATGCATTAAAAACCTGCGTTTGTGCACAAAGTTTTGATACCGGCAGAGTGGAGGTGCGGTGCTGTCAAACTGAGACGACCAAGATGAAGCCACTATTCTTCTATATTTCTACATTTAATATCATCCATCGCTCCCGACAATATGTTTGCTCTCATTACATATACATGACTAGAGAGTTTTTAAAAAGAATCACAATGCATTGTGACAATATAACCGAATGCAGCACGATGGCACCTCCCAGCTGTACTGGTAAACTGGTACAGGCCCACTGGCTAACAAGGACAATGCACCTGCAGACTGAGACTAGTCCCAGTGAGCATTTTTTGGTTGAAAAGACGTTTAAAAGACGTCTATGCCCGACGTTGAAAAGACGTTGCAAAATGGTTTAAAAGTGAAAGTTGTTTCAACGTCTATTCGTAGACGTTGAAAAGACGTCTATGTTTAGACCACATTTCAACGTGATTTTTTAATACGGTAATATTTCGTCCTCTCTTGTGTGCTATATCATTATTTTAGAGATTTAAAAAGAAACTACGTCCACATTTGTAAGTTTACCACCGATATTATAAATCACGTTGAAAACGGGTCTATACGCGAACGTCTTTTCAACGTCTACGAATAGACGTTGAAACAACTTTCACTTTTGAACCAATTTGCAACCTCTTTTCAACGTCGGGCCATAGACGTCTTTTAAACGTTGTTTCAACGGATAAATTGCTCGCTGGAAACTTACAAGTTACATACTTAGTCACAGTTGTCATGTTAACAGCCCTTAACAAGGACAAACACATTATTTTGTTCATTTGCATTTATTATAAATATAACACTATACATATAACACTTTTCCTAATTAAAAACAATACAAAAATAAAATATATATTTCAGGGAAATAAACTATGGATTTAAAAGTGCAGAAACAACAATTCTGTGTTCAACAACAACAATTCTGTGTTTGTAGACCATTTTTCTGAATCATTTGAACTTCATTTTTAGATTCTGTAACAAGATGTGGGTCTGGGTCACTTGAGTTGGGATAGTATACCTGAAATCAGCTGCATCTCCCTCATCCTCACTTGAGGATTCTTTGTGTAAAGGGAGTCAGAGTGCACAGAACAGCCCTCAATTGCAGATTTCTCTGGTCAACGTGTTTATTCAATTCAAATCATTTTATTTTGTTCATCTTTGCAATCTGTAAACATGCAACATCCTGTCCCAAAACCCCCAAAATGTAAAAAACCTTCATCCGGGAGAAACCTGAGGAGAAAACAGCAAGGCCGAAGGTGTGTAGAGTATGAACAATTTAAAGATGTACAGTACATCCAATTCCTACGACATAAATGATTCTAATATTGTGGATTACTAAGCCAGGGGTAAGGCAGGACCAGTGCAGGGACAACCATCATCAGACGTAACCTCCATCAGATGCAACCACCACCCGCAGAAACCTGTGAGGAGGGAAGCACAACGGCAAAGTTGGTAATTTGGGTTTATGATGACAGTAATAAACTAATAATAATAATAACAGCAGCAGCAGGTGTGTTAGAACACTCATTTATAGATGGTTTACTTATTACATTATCAACAAGATAACAATTAATCTGCAACTTATGGTATTTCTGGAGTAACATGTCCAGGTATATTACACAGTATCATGCTTTAAGCAGCAGTAACTTACAATGTGTTGGCCCTCTTGTTTACAGAGCACAACTTGTTGAATTCAGCCCTTCACCCTTGCAATCTGTATTTAGCCCCCATTGCTTTAAAAACGTATCTTCAGTGTGAAATGCAATAACATGTATGGGTACAGCAACAACCTAACGCATTAGTAACACCAAACACACGAAAAATATTCTGGGATGTTTACTTTTGGTCCAGGTCATCATGCTGCACGCTAGCATGCTCCAAGCTAGCATGCTAACTAGCAAACTACCTGCGCTAACGCTAACTAGCTTAACAAAAAGGACCGTCTTTCCCGTATCGGGTGGGCAGCACAAGTAAAACACCCGGTTATAGTTCCATGTGTGCTTCATCCAAACACTCGCGTACTTACAGAGTAGTGGAGCCGGTAGTCGTGGTTCTATCAGCCCGTTCATGTCGCTCCGCTGCCGTAACTTCGCCTCGTCCGCTCGGAGCTCTGCAGGCGTCTAAGAACTCGCGCATGCGCGTTACAGATGTGAGCGGAGTCACGTGTTTACAAGTAATGTTTGAACCTGCCCGCATTATTATGTCTTAAACGCATCTTATTAACAGCACGCAGTCCGTAGTTTCATATTTATGACGTTTTAAGTGAAATATTAAATACGTTGAAATGACGTCTTCGCGTAGACCAAATTTCGCCGACCAGTTCATTAATTATTATGAAAATCTTAACGTTAATATCGTCTATCTTTCAACCTTACGTTACATCATGACACATTTGTCAACAAATTGACGTTTTCTGGCACGTTGATGTTTCATCCCATTTTTAGCCGGTTGAAAAGACGTTGAAATGAGGTCTTCACGTTCAGACCTCATTTCAACCCGATTTCAACCATATTTCAACGTTGAAATTACGTCTTGTGCTCACTGGGTACTGTCATCATAAACCCAAATGACCAACTTTGCCGTTGTGCTTCCCTCCTCACAGGTTTCTGCGGGTGGTGGTTGCATCTGATGGAGGTTACGTCCGATGATGGTTGTCCCTGCACTGGTCCTGCCTTACCCCTGGCTTAGTAATCCACAATATTAGAATCATTTCTGTCGTAGGAATTGGTTGTACTGTACATATTTAAATTGTTCATGCTCTACACACCTACTGCCTTGCTGTTTTCTCCTCAGGTTTCTCCCGGTTGAAGGTTTTTTACATTTTGGGGGTTTTGGGACAGGATGTTGCATGTTTACAGATTGCAAAGCTGAACAAAATAAAATGATTTGAATTGAATAAACACATTGACCAGAGAAATCTGCAATTGAGGGCTGTTCTGTGCACTCTGACTCCCTTTACACAAAGAATCATCAAGTGAGGATGAGGGAGATGCAGCTGATTTCAG